ATCTCAAAGAAAACTATGCACTCTAGTATTACATATTTTTATGTAATTCTTCATTTCTCTTTTAACAATCTACATTGAGTGCTCTTTCTGACTTTATGTGTGATGATATTAAGAATTACTTTTCTAAGCAACCATAGCTAATTGTAAATCCATCAGCACATATGAGTCAATGATTTCTTTCCATGTCATGCTTTTGTTCATGTTCAAATGGATCTGTCACTAGGTTTCCAAATTATTTTCAGTAGGTACTTAGAATCCTCTCTAACAGTGGCTAACCTACATAATTTCTCATCCTCAACAAATATTTTGCCGCTTACAATTCACCTCATTTCACACTATTAATGAATGCACATTCACTAATTAATTAGTGAATGCACACTATTAATGAATGAGGAATTGGTCCTCATACTCATCCTTGGGAGTATACCATCATTAACCTTCTCCTAATATTAGCACTGTTTATCTCACCATCTGATGCTGTCTTTAAAGGAGCAAAGCAAAGTGGAGAGATCATCAGTCAATCCAAATCATTCACTTGATGTTTATTATGCACCTACCCAGTGAAGAAATTAGGAGCACATTAAAGTGGGTTATACAGACTTGTTCTTTGAGAAATTAACATCTCAGGTCTGGCACACAGCTAGAGCTCAACATTAAGAAAATAAATAATTGCTAGACTGTAGCTATGGCTTTAAAGGACAATAGCTTATAATTGGACAGAAAAAGATGCATTTTCCTTAAAGATCTTATAGTAGATAAAAAAGAGTTTATCATTCTAGACAAGGGAAGCAGCATAAGCAAAAGCACAGAGGCAGAGAGAGTTGAGGTCTACAGGAGGATGATAAAAAGACCAAGCACCCTTCTAACTGGCAACCATGAAAGATTCATTTGGATAGATAAAATGAAGTCATCAAATTCATTTACTGATTTTTTAAAATTCAACAAATATACCCTGAGTTCCTACAGTGCTTTGTCTAGATATCAAGATCAGTACAGAAATAAAATTGGCAGGTTTTCTGCCTAAGAAGGCAGTGTAGAGCTATATGTGTGGGGCAGTATGGACTCAAAATGTTATAAGATTTTTATCATGCCTGAACTACTATATTACTTTCAAAATAGATGCCTTTTTCTATGGTCTGTCCTACAAACTGTTGTCAAATTAATTTTCCTAAAACACAGCTCTTTATCCAAGGGACTCTTTTGCTGCAAATATTTTTGACAGGACAGACCTTGAACAATTTTGGCCATGATTCCAAGGCCTCCTCAGACTTTAATTCCAGCTGACTTTATCTTCCATTATTCCTCCACTGACATCTATTTTCTGATCAAGGCAACGTACCTGCTGTTTTCATGATAAGATTTGCTGTTCTGTGTCTTTTCACATAAAATATTTCCATCTGGAATGCATACCCTTTTCCAATTGTCTTTATGTGAATTCCTAGTTTCCTTTGGTCTCAGTTTAATGGGACTTCTCCATGCCTCAGCTAAAAATGATTTTTCTAATTATCTTAATTCCACATTCTCCACCACATAGTTTGCACTTGTAGTTCCTTATATTGAAGTTGGTATCTTATCTCTCTGCATTATGTTGTGGATTTTTTTTCCAGTTCACTAGAGTTTGCAGAGTGGACAGAGTATGTAGAATACACTGACTATACCTAAAAGTTATATCTGCTGACTGTATCTACTGAGTAAGGCTATTGGATGAATCAACAGTCAATCAAGACAGATGTGAGAATAATGTTAATAATAAGAAAAACACAGACGTCTGTTGGGTTGTTTGGCTGCCAGCAGGCTGATGCGGCCGAATGTCCGGGTATTTGAAAAGGAAGATGAGAACTTGGGAAATGTGGCAGTTTCCAGCAATGCTGTTAACTAATCAAGATGCTGCTTAAGAATAGTGACAAATAAAACTTGAGAGGATATGTCATCTATTGTCTGAGCCAAATAAAATGGAGTCCCAACACCAGACTAGAGCTGGGATATTAATATGGTGAGGAAACCAAGCATTAAAGTTAAATTTACTGTGTGTGCGTGTGTGAGTGGTGGGGTGGTGGGCAGGGGGCGGTTCTGATGAAAAGTTAGCATTTGAGCAGAATAATCTGATTTATAATGATGTGCCCTGGATCTCTCTGTCTGCGTAATAAACTCAGCAATTTCCCCTTCCTCTCTATATAAAGGTAATTTTTAGTATGATGAAGTAATTATATAGATGAGGGGTTTTGAGAACTAGGAATAATCAAGTTTTCTACAAGGAATTCATCCCAAGGCCAAACAGATTAAACTCATGACTCTTGTTATTCATGATAAGCACATATAATTCCACATTTCTAACTGAGCAGAATGAGCAGGAAGTGGCCCTCATTCTCCAACCTCCAAACTACCTGTCCGCAGCAGACTTTAACCATCTTTGGTTGCAAAAATCCATATTCCCTTGGCTTTAACTCTTAAAACATGTTCCGTCAATCTGGATAAATCTGAATTCTAACTTTCACCAGCTTCATGGCTTTAGGCAATTTTTAAAATCTCTCTGGGCTTCAGTTAACTCACAAGTAATGGGGATAATTAATAATACTTACTTCATACAGGCTGGCAGAGGATTATCAGGAAGGATGCCTGGCATAATGACTAAATTGCAGGCACTCAAAAACAACACTTTTTTTTCTTCCTTCTTCAGCCACTCATAAACAAGGAAATTCAAAGAAGTCAATGAAATTATATCAAAGTTCTAGCAGAACTATGAATTTGTACTCCACTTTTTCTCTTAAGAAAATATGAGATGTACATGTACAATCCAATTTTTAAGATTGAGAGAAAAGTTTTTTTCTGATTTCTTCAATTTCATGTAATAACTGAGAAATCCAGGGCTAAAATGACCCTATTGCATTTCATTTCTAGAAACCAATTCTGCAACCAAAACCAAGTCTTCACACATGTGTTCTCAGTATGTATTCTTTCATTCTCCCCTAGCTAGGGATAATCAGATAAGCTGTATGTTTACATTCAGCAGATAATATTTTGGAGATAGTACTTCATTTTTCTGAGGTTTCCAAAAAAAAATCTGCACAAAGAAAGGCAAGCTATTTTCATAGCTTACCTCAATTTGTCTTCATTAATTGAGTGTCCTTATGTAGGGTACATTTATCAACTAAAAGAGTTGAATAATTCTGAATACTAAGTTGATATATTGTCATAGCCATTATCAATATTTTTAAAAAATGTTTTGTAGGTTAATTGAACATTTTTACCCTGAAATTTCTGGGTATGTTAAGGCTTTATTAAATACCATAGTTGGCCACAGTTTTCAGTTCTGATAGTAATGACAATCAAGTAACCAACCACATGAGATAATTTTGAAGCAGTTTTTCCTATAAATATAAAGAAGTGACACATGGGATAATTATTTTATAGTTAAATATCCATAAATAAATTTAAATGAATGTATACTGGATTATAAAAATGAGCCCAAATGCAGTGCTCAGGAAAACTTGTCAACATAATAACTAAATATGAGGCATATCTTGGTTATAAAATTTAAATAGCTCAGAAAAGTATAAGACCTCCATCCATCCTCCTTACCCCAAAGTTTCTCATCCCCGAAGTAACAATTATTCTTACTCATCCCTCTGGAATTTATTTCAGATAGAAGACAAGTTATTTATAGATGCAATCCTTTTTTATTTTATAAAAGATATATTGAATATTCTTTCAATCCTAGTAGCAAGCATGACCCATGAAGTTTTTCAACTTGATAGATTTCCAAACCCACAAAAAGTATGTCATGTCAGAAAGCTTGGATGCATCTTTGATTTAGAGAAGTAGGAAGGTAAGATTAGGAAGTCAATCAGTTAGCAGAAAACAGCACTCACCCCCATTGCTATTGATTTTTACCCTGTCCTAGTGTAAAACTAGTTGCTACTTCTGGGAATCAGAGAAACACTGCTACTAACATGTTTTTCATTTTAAAGATTGAAGACCATACTTAGTAGAAAAAATGTTTTTTCACAAGAATCTTTTTCCCTTTACAGTTAACACAATTCAATACACACCACAGCAAATTATTTTCCTTCAAGCAAACTTCTGCTGATTTTTCCAGGATGAGTTAAAATGCACTTCCTTAAAATGTATCTCCTTAAGGAGGTCTTCCTCTTCCTTCCTTTCATGTACACGCCTTGCTATGCTCGATATTCACCAAAGCTCTTGTGGAACTTACCATACTCTCACCAGTATAAGAGTTTGGTCTATGTGAGTTCAAATAAGCAATGAAATTTTCCATCAGTTTATGGGGTTGGTGCTAAACAACTGTAGACGAAACATTAGTATCTGTTACTCAGTTTTGACTGTGAACTTGTGGATGATTTCATGAAACGCATTGCAAATGGCTGTTTTCTTGATATTTATTGGTTGTTTTAAACTAAATTGAAAGACTGCAAATAGCAATGATCAAACAATGATATTTCAAAGGAAAAAGTCAATAAATAATAATCTCGGGCTTCCCTCGTGGCACAGTGGTTGAGAGTCCGCCTGCCGATGCAGGGGACACGGGTTCGTGCCCCCGGTCTGGGAGGATCCCACGTGCCACGGAGCGGCTGGGCCCGTGAGCCATGGCCGCTGAGCCTGCGCGTCCGGAGCCTGTGCTCCGCAACGCGAGACGCCACAGGAGTGAGAGGCCCGTGTACCGCAAAAAAGAAAAAAAACAACAACCTCTAATTAGATGATTTTAATGAGAGCTCAAATTCCAGTAAGCCCCTTTCATGGTACTGCTCTCTGTTTGGCTTCTTTGTCCTAAATTTCTCTCTCTTCATCCCTATTTATTCTGTCCTGCCAATTCCCTCCTTATTCTATTATCTGTTTCCTGTGTCTTTCTCATTCTCCTGTTTGTCTTTTCTTTTCTCCTTTCCCACCTCAGTTTTTCTCTTAGAAAATCACATACAACACACACACACACACACACACACACACACACCACAAATAGTTTTATATATTTGATCTTTCCTTACCGGGATGAAGATGTAGGCTCAGTAGTTTGTCTTTGCACACGTGCGTGTTTAATTAAATGTTCTGTTAAAGCAGTTTGGACTTCTGCTGGGATATCAGGGGAAGTGTGGCTGATTTTTATTGCAGGCTCAATAGCTTTTAGTGCTGGTTCTCCATTTTCTTTAACCTCTTTTTTCTCTTCAGTCTCAAAAACTTCAGTGGGAGCACTTGACATGCTCTGTGGAAGGGTACTGACATTGGAAGTCACAGGTTTGCTCTTCCAGCAAGGCCAGCACAACTTCCAGAAGACAAAAAGTGAAACAACCAACAAGGCCAGGCCACAAAAGCTGACAACAACTGCTAACAGGCTGACTGAAATATCTGGAAAAAATTACAATGTAAAGAAATATTAAGTTATTGATAGCGTATGTAACAGGGCAGCAACAGTGGGATAATTTGATATTATGGTTATTATTAATAGTTTGCTGATTTAGAGTTTCAAAAATTTACTTTTAAGTATCTTTGTAGGGAGGAAATATTAATAATTATGTTTGGAAATTCTCAAAGGAGACAAAAATTTCTTTCCCAGAAAGTTTCCAATTGTATACAAGAAAAGCATGATATGTACATATCATTTCCAAGTATAGTACAAACGTTCCAAGAGTTTGCAAAATGAAGGTTAGCTACATGCAACCTGCCTTGAAGTCATGAAGCTTAAGATGCTCTGAAACTGTATACAACTGGAAAGGCTTCTGTTTGCTTCATGATGGATCTAAAGATGCAACCTTCTTACTCTCTAAGCAGGTAATGTTAAATATTTGTATAAACTGCTTTCTGTGGTGTAAATGAGAATAACACATTACTAATAGAGAATGGGTACACAATTATTTGTATTTTCAAACTCCATAGGTCCTTTCTAATAAGCTTTCTTGCTCCTAATTCCTAAGTCCAAAATTGGTTGATGATTTCTTATCTAAGTATCTTTAAAATATTCTTATTTAAAAATAATTACAAGGACTTCCCTGGTGGTGCAGTGGTTAAGAATCTGCCTGTCAATGCAGGGGACACGGGTTCAAGCCCTTGTCTGGGAAGATCCCACATGCCACGGAGCAACTAAGCTTGTGTGCTACAACTACTGAAACTGTGCTCTACAGCCCATGAGCCACAACTGCTGAGCCTGAGTGCCACAACTACTGAAGCTCTTGCTACTAGAGCCCATGCTCTGCAAGAAGAGAAGCCACCGCAATGAGAAGCCCATGCACTGCAATGAAGAGTAGCCCCCTCTCCCTGCAACTAGAGAAAGCCCATGCACAATAATGAAGACCCCAATGCAGCCAAAAATAAGTAAATTAATTAATTTTTTAAAATTAAAATAATTACAAAATTAATATATGCTTACTATGTAAAATAATTAAAAGGGATATAGTAAAAAAAAAGTTAATGATTGTATAAATAAACAAATGGCAGAGAAGAAACAAATCTCTCATACAAAAGCATGCCAAAAAATTTATGTGGATATTCTGCCCTCAAGGAAGTGGAGCATAGCTCTCCACTCCTTAACTGTGGGATGCACAAAGTGACTTTCTCCTAAAGAGTACTTGTATGGAAAGGGCAAAAATGATGTAACTTTACACAGAAGAAATCTGAAAAATACTAACCTCACCCAGGTGATCAAAGGGAACATCAACAGTGACAAATCATGTTAATACCCGTGATAGGATGTGATGAATATGGCACTTTATCTTTGTGTTCTTCCTCCCCAAACCAACAACCTGAATCTAATCATGAGAAAAACAGAAGACAAATTCCAGTAGAGGGACATTCTACAAAAAAACACCAATGTTGTCCAAAAAAAGGAAGTCTGAGAAACTGTCATAACCCAGAGACTAAGGAGACATTACAACTAAATGCAATGTGGTATCCTAGATGGAATCCTGGAGTTAAAAAAAAAAAAAAAAAAAGGACATTAGGTAAAAGCTAAGGAAGTCTGAATAAAGTATGGACTTTAGTTAACAGTGTATCAATATTAGTTCATCAACTGTAACAAATGTACCATACTGATGTAAAATGTTAATAATAGGAGAAACTGGGTGTGGGAAATATGGGAACTCTGTAGTATTTTCCCAAATTTTTCTGCACATCTACAATTGTTTTAAAAAGTAAAAGCATTAAAAAATGTTAAGAATATCCCCCTACCCACTTCCATTTTCACCTTCCTAAAATAACCAATGTTAGCAACCTGGTGTTATAGCACTCTTAAAGTTTGGAAGACCAAATAGATTTCCCATGAGGGGAAATTTTTCTAGATTTAGATAACCTTAACTTTTCTTTTACAACTTTGTTTAGCATCAGTGCCAAATATGAAACCAATTTCTTTTGTTTCTTTGTTTTAAATAAAGATGTTAGAAATATGTTATACGCTTAATTGTGTCTGTCCCTCCATCCCCTCCAAATTCATAAGTTAAAGTCCTAAACCCCAGTACCTCAGAGTGTGTATTTCGAGATAGAGGCTTTTAAATTAGTAATTAAGGCAAAATTAGGTCATATGGATGAGCCCTAACCCAATATAACTGGTGTCCTTATAAGAAGAGCAGATAAAGACAAAGACAGTCACAGAAGGAAGACCATGTGAAGACCCAGGGAGAAGGCAGCCATCGACAAGACAAAGAGAAGAGGACTCAGAAGAAATAAACCCTCCTGACACCTTTATCTCAGACTTCTAGCTTCCAAAACTCTGAGGAATAAGGTTCTGTTGTTTAAGCCACCCAGTCTGTAGTACTTGATTATGGCAGCCCTAGAAAACTAAAGAATAAATCCAATTTCCTTTAACCACCATTGTAAATCCAGGAGGTCCCACCCCTCCTACAAAGCAACCACTAACCCCAGTTTGGCGTGTGTCTGTCCAGCCCAAGCACTAATAAAAACAAATATCTCTTAAGTAACTATAAAATATAGAATTATTTAATACAATTTTTTAATATAAATGGCTACTGCATATTTCTTTATTCAGTTTGCTTTTTTTTTATTCAACAATACTTGAGGTCTAACTTCATGTCACAGCATTCCATAATACTTCATCATGATGGATATTTGGTTTATGCCCACTGTTTGCTATTACAACATAGCTACAATGAGCATCCTTGTACTCTTGTCCCTGTGCATATTTGTGAATATTTATCTAAAGTAAATATCTAGAAATAGAACCACAGGGTCACATGTTATGCACATTATTTAGCTTTACTAGGTATTTCCAAAAAGAACCCCAGACTGACTAACAAAAAACATCATATAAGTTTACTAGTTCCTACAATTTCAGAGAAATATTGTTGTATTTTAATTTTCACTGACCTGATGGGGAAATGATAGGTTGTTTATTTCTCTGATTAGTGAGATAAAATGGTTCTGGTTAAACTCTCAATTTGTAGCTGATGGAAATCCATTAAGAAACTGAAATAATTCCAAGTTTTTATTGCTACTTAATTATAAGAATAAAAATTAATTTTGACATGCTATGATACATAGACACTAATATTTTCCTTTATTTTTCAATTGCTAGCTAAAGCTACATTGAATATATTTTCCATTTATATTCCATTGGTGAGGAATGTGTGATCATATTTTATATTTTGTAGTTTATTTTTACATTTTAAAATTATCCATTAGCACCATACCTTGAGGGAAAGAGAAAAATTATAAAATGAATGTGCTTCCTGATTATTAACTACAGTTTTAAAATGGAGGAAGCCAATGATGGCTTCATAACCTTCTTGTATTTTCAGCTCCACTTACATTATATTTTTCTGGATATTTTAACTCAATTAACTTCTTCAGTGGCTAACTTCTACTCAGTTGGAGCCAAAGCCAAGATATAAGGAAACTGCAGGACAATGTGGGATAGAGGAAAGGACAGAAACAGTTTTCAGTCTATAACTGAAAATGCCCCCTGTTTTTAGGTTCTTTGACCTAATTTCAACTTGTGTGTGTGGGGAGGCGGAATTCCCATACCACTAACAATTCTCTGGATACCAACTGGGTGTTCTTACAGTTCAACTCAATTCTGACACCTGCCTACCAGAGGTAGCATTAGATTCCATAGGTTAAGGGTTCAGTCCTGCATAACTGCCCCCCTCCCTTCCAATGCCAGTAGCAAATCCAAGTTGTTATCTGTAGTTTTCTGACCAACCGGCAAAAAATTGGAGGTTCCCACGACCCCTCCTTGGGTTTGATCAATTTGCCAGAGCAGCTTACAGAACTCAGGAAACTAATTTCTTTACCAGTTTACTATAAAAAGATATAAGGATATATTATAAAAGGATTACCAGTTTATTATAAAATGATATAACTCAGAAATAGCCAGATGGAAGAGGTCATAGGGCAAAGTATGGGGAAAGGGCATGGAAGCTCAGAGCACAATATTCTCAAATTTCTGCATGTACAACCCAGAAGCTCTCAAACCCCATCCTTCTTGGTTTTTATAGAGGCTTCATTACATTGGCATGATTGTGTAAATAATTGGCCACTGGTGACTGATTCAACCTCCAGCCCCTTTCCCTTCTCAGGAGGTCAGCAGGGGTGGGACTGAAAGTTCCAACCCTCTAATCACATGGTTGATTCTTCTGGAAAACAGCCCTCATCCTTAGGTGGGGCCCAAAAATCACCTCATTAACCTAACAAGACATGGCTCTCATCACTAAGGAAATTCTAAGGGTTTTGGGAGCTGTGAGCCAGGAACTGTGGAAGAAGACTAAATATATATGCACAATATCACATCTCCCTTCTCACTAATGTGGTTCATAAAATACTTCATCCAAACCAAGTCACTTTTGAAAGTGAAAGGCTGTACTATCAACTGTACCAGAGTAGCAGGAATCAAGTCATATTCTGGAAACTTAGTAAATGGTCATCTTACCTCTTTTAGCCTAACATCCTTCCAAATTACCCAATCTGGTCAAATCTAAACTTTGCATGGCATTCCACAGTGTCTTTGTGATTTGACCCCTGGCTATTGACCCAACTTCATTCTTCTGCCACTCTCCTACCTATTCTCCTTCTCCTGACCACAAGTTACTCTCTCACGATTTTTGTTCGGGCTGTTTCAAATAGTTCCAGGGCGTTTTTTCCTCCTGTCTGGGTGCCTGGCAAATTTGTATTCATGCTTCAAAAACTAGATCCAGTAGTACCTCTTCCCTGAAGCTCTCTCTGCCTCCTCTGTCCCTAAGGGCCTTTAAAGCACACCCACTACCATAGCACTAGTAATAATTTATTGGCCTATAATCTTTTATCCCAAACACTTAGGACATGATGGTTTCAAAAATTATTTTCTTTTGGATATTGGAAAGGTAGTATGGTATACATTATCTGGGATAACATCTAGTAACCAA